TCCTGCCTCAGACTCCTGAATGTTGGGATTACAGGTGTGCACAACCACACCTGTTTTAATACTGATCTAATCTGCAGGTTCTTTTATTGTTTTCCCTGGCTCTAGTAGCTTTTTTGTGGGTTCTTTGAATATATATTCCTTTCCATTTGGATGTTTTCATTTCCTTTTCTTATCTAACAGCTCAAAGTTCTAGTGCTATGTTGATGAGTGACAATAAAGATGGGCATCCTTCTTTTACTTATTTTCATGAGGACAAAATGTTCACTCTTTCAGTTTTAAATGTAATACCGTCTGTGAGTTTTCTATGAATACACTGTATTATACTTAGGAATATTTTTCCATTTCTAGTTTTTTGAGAACTTTTTATTTTAAAAAGGAGAAGAAAACAAAATTTCAAAACAATATAATAATAGACTAACAATAACTAATATATTGCTGTGGTGGCTTGGGCATTTTCCAGGGGAGAAACATAATACAGGACACATATTTTATAAGATTATTTTATAATAGTCACCCAAAGAATCATATACAAAGAGTGCAAGAAATCTGTCCACACACTAAAGACCAAAGAATCTAGTTGAGGGCCATGATCCCACGGTAATGTCCTGCATGAGTCCAGCTGAAGACTTAAGAGTCCATAACAATGCCTCCCATGAGTCCAGCTGGAGGCCTAGAGCCCATGACAATGTCATTCAGGCCTGTTTTATGGATCTGCACTGGGAAGGCTCAAAGGTCAGTGGGGGGAGCTAGAACATCTGTGCCAGCAAGATGAGGGATCTGTGCTAGAAGGCTGAGGGATCTGAACTGGAGCCAGGAAGTAATGCTCAAAGGAAGAACTATAGCTCCCCAGAAGTGAACCGTAGCCATTCTCAGCAACAAGGAGGTCCTGAGCTCCTCCTCCAATGAGAACAGCTGAGTTCATCAGGAAATCCAGCATAAGGTCCTCTAGGAAAACCAACAGCTCCCTACAGTTTCTCAATAGCTTCCAACAGGCTCCCGACAGCTTCTACCAACTCCCAACTGCTTCTCTCAGCTCCCAACAGCCTCTCTCCTTCTCCAGTTCTGCCTCTTATGCTGCTAGCAACAATATTCAGGTGGGCCTCCCACACCCAGAACTATATGGGTTCATTTCAGCTGAGTGTTACAAGTTGACCACCAGTTGTCAATGCACCACAATTGCATATTGTGATCTTCAGAGTAGTTACTCAGGGTACAAGATACAGGCATGAGATATTGTCGAAACAATATTAGGATGAACCTTTTTTTCAATGAACTAAGAGAAATTATCAGTATAACTATTTTAACTATATATCTATGTCTATATATGTAATTTTTCTTTTCCCTTCCTTTCTTTCCCCTTTCCTCCATCAGTTTCTCTTTTCCTTTGAACAATTTCTTCTGAATTCATAATATCTATTGTACATTTTTCATCCTATTTACTCATTCAGTTTTTGAGAATGTTTAATCACAAAATGGAGGTGGATTTATCATATGCCTTTATGCATCAATTGATAGAGGCAAAGGCATGTTATTTTTAAATCCTTCCTTCTTTTAATATAGTGTATGACATTGATTTATATACTTACAGTCAAATATCTTTTGTTTTAGGAGCAATTATAGTTTTAGGAGCAATTATATTTGATCATGGTGAATAATGCTTTTAATTTGACATTTGATTCAAATTGCTAATATTTGTGGACAAAGAGTGCACCTGTATTTCTAAGGATATTAGTCAATAATATTTATTTTCTCGTGATGTGTATATGTGATGTTGGTCAAAGTAATGGCACCCTCATATGGAAAGCACTTAATAATTGGGAAACATTATTATTACCTATTTCAAATTATAGGTCTAGTATATTTGTTTGATGGTTTCTGCTTATCCAGCAGTCCTATTTATAATTTTTCAATGCCAACATTTTTTAAAATCTCTTTTCTCATATCATCTTGTCTCTATGTTAAATATAAAAAGTTTTAGAATCTATATATGGGAAGTTGTAGTAGGGCATTATTTCTCATACATCCAAGAAAATATTAATTGACACTATAAGCCATATCCAATGACAAAATTTAACATAAATATTCTTTACATAATGTCTGCCTTCCAAATTAAACTCTTCTTGAGAAAACACTGAAATTTAGTATTTAAAATTTGGCCTGGCAGCAGCAAAATGACTTTAAGGCCCTTATGAAAGAGTATCTGCGAACAAGTTCTTATGTATTCTTTCTTAAAAATTTAATTAACTTCATTGATATAATTTAGGTATATACAATGATCACATTCACCATAGGAATTTGTACCTGTACATAGTATACCTTTGATTTGTCTTTTTCCCCTCCCATTTCCCACCCCTTCCTTTAACCTCTCTTCCCTATTTACAAACCTTTGTTTCCATTTTGTCCTTTTTTCATTTTTCCTTTACAAAGAGAATAACACAGTACTTCCAACGTGATGGCTGTAGGCAAGGTGAGTGTTGTTTTTGCATGTACACTTGACCTTGATAAAAAAATGCATTTTGCAAATGAGAAGGAGACCAAGAGATGGAGCAATAGCAGGGGGTGGTATTTTTTGTTTTGTTTTGTTTTTGTTTTTTTTCCGGTACCGAGAATTGAACTCATGACCTTGTGCTTGCCAGGCAGGCGCTGTGCGACTGAGCTAAATCCCCAGCCCCTAGTAGCAGGGGGTGTAGAAAGGGAGGGAAAAAACTGAGATGTGCTATGAACACGTACGAACTGCCTATGAGGAATGTCATTGTTATGTACTGCAAACATGTAGTAATAAAAAGTAAAAATTGAAAAAACTTTAAAAATTAAAAATATATTTGCTTGCCAGATATCCTTACCCTCCACAGCTCAAACTTTGCAAATATCTTGCAGAAAGGTGTATCAAGAGAAAATGCCCTACAGAAAAATGATTTTGTATACTTACTGAATATTGAAGGCACATAGAACCTGGGCTACTTTTTATGTTACTTAGAAGACTTAGACAGTGATTTTTCAACGTTTTCATTAAATAAATAATGCTGCTTAAATTTTATGATACAATGATAAACGGAAAATGAAAGACACTCCTTAGTGAAGATAAATTTCTTATAGGGGTGAGACAAGACTCTTGAAATGCAAATATCATTAAGGCTGAATTAGGAGTACTGGAGAGAAACAAATTACAAAGGTGAACTCATTAAGGTAATCAGTTGTTTGATGACATTACAACAAAGAACTTGAGGTTTAGTTGGGAGAACACAGAGAGATAAGTCTAAGCATGAATGAGGAGTTTGGTAGGTAAAATGTAAGTACCTGTGAAGATGGTTCTAAAAGCCACAGCAACGGGTTTGAAGGAGTGTGGGCCCCTCAACATGAGAGGCAACATCTTGCAAGGATGTTCAAAATGAAATTTTTCATAATTATGCATGGGGTTCGCCTTCGTGATTTTGTCAAAAATATGTCATTCTGAAAAAAAAATCCTATGGCTCAACTCCCTGTGACAGTATCATAATTTGTTATAACAATAATCTGAAGTTAATCTCAAGGTTAAACTGATTTTTTTGCCTTATTAGAAAGTGTGAAGCATATCTATCACACTTCTAAGATATTTAAATTGTGATTCCCATATTCTCTCGACTATTATCTTCCTCAACCACACCCCTCACTTCATTGTTAGATTTACATACTGTGTCTAGCTTATCCCCTTCTTAACTTGTTTTGCCTTTATCTTGCCTAGATCTCAGGTTTCCATTTAAACAGGATACTTGCTAGCATGCGAGATGATAAATATTACTTATCCCAATGAAAATAAAAGATAGAATAGAGTCCATACATCAAGTCACTCTTGTCCTCAAGCTGTGGAACATTCTAAAAATCCTAAGGTAGAGTGAAAATGCACATTAGTTCCCATATTCTCAGAAATTCAAAATCATACTCAGTGTTACTTAAAATATAGCTCATGTCCTTCAAGACTGTAGACTTAGCACACAATAGATAACTCAATGTGTGAAAGTAAAAGTTGATAACTTCTGGGTGGACAAACTCAGTAATGTCAAAATTAAATTTCCATAACTAATGATCATATAACTGAAAAATCACACCTCTAGGAACCTATAATAATAATGGATGCTTATATAAGTTTATATTCTTATTCTTTGTAGTGCTGTTTGTGATATGTGAAAACTAGATACACTTTAAAAAGCCATCCATAATGAACTAATTAAATAACTTATTGGACACACATAAAGTAAAACAATAAGTAGGCATCAAGGAAAATGAGGTACATATTTTCAGGGAAAGAAACACTGTTAATTACGTGTAATTTTGTTATCTCTGAAAAGAAATGCCCTTGTATGATGGTATATGCCTGTAATCTCAGCACTTGGAAGGCTGAGATAGGAGGACTGCCTTGAGTTTGAGATCAGTCTAGGCTGCAGTGAGTTCAAAGTTAGTCTGAACTGCACAGTGAGACTCTATTAACTGAAAAAAAGGAAAAGAAAGTAATATATAAAATTTGAGTAGTCTAATCAAGTTTTCAAGTGGGAAATGTGCAAAAAATATTTATATTTACCTAACATGGGCTGGGGATTTAGCTCAGGAGCACAGCACCTGCCTGGCAAGCACGAGGTTATGAGTTCAATTCTCGGTACCAGAAAAAAAGCAAAAAACAAAACAAAACAAAAAACATTTACCTAACAAAATATATAAGAGGAAATCCTCAAAGCTATTAATTCAGATTACCTCTGAGAGCTGGGAATGGAGGAAAAACATTCAGTGAGTACATAATTGTCTTCTTACTCATGCACTTCAGTATGATTTTAGTTTGTTACTGTAAGAATGCATTCTTTTTGTGATAAAATATGGCATTTAAAAATTTTAAAGCAAATAATATTGATCTAGCTGAGTTGGGATTTCATGTGTTCATTTATAACAGGAATGGTATGGTTACCTCTGCAGTTGAGGAGCTCTGAGATGATCCAATGTCATCTGTGGAACAAAAGGTCTCATCTCCAAAAGTCCATTTTTTGCGGGGGGTATCAATCAGGGAGGGGGGTGAGTGCGGGGATACAGATGTGATGGTTATTATAGTAGCAAACCTATTTTAGGAGTCTGTGGGAGGCCCTGTTGTGTAACCAGAATGTGAGCCTCCTGCATTGTCCTCTTTATTTATCTTCAAGTCATGGGTTTTGTAGCCTGTGGGATTCTCAGTACTTGTGGTATTGGCTTTTCTCCAGGGTCATCCTTGAGAATGCTTGCACTGGTGCTCCACATGTTCCTCTCTCCATGATCACATTGTGGGAGGGCAGTCATAATGATGTTCCATTATCTGTTAACATACAAGCATACCATTGCCCCCTTATTATTTTTAACTGTACTTAGCCAGGTTTAAAAAAATTTTAAGGTATCAAGGTCTGATTTTGTTTTGGAGGTAACAATATTGTAATCATATTTCCCCTTTTGTTTATTCAATTTTTACTAGAGGTGTTGTTTTTCTTAAAGCTTGATCTTTGGTGAATGTATCATTAGCCATAATTGTCTTTTGTGCTGAAGGTCCATCCCTATATAACTGCCTGTAATATTTGTAATTAACTTCGCTGTCTATATGTTTTCCTCTGAAGAGATAGGGGAAACTGGGTATAGTTTTCATCTTAAACCTTTGAGCTGAGAAGGATCAATATAAAGGTAGACTAAAGTCAGTGACCCCATCCAGAGAGCTAATCTAATGGACATCAGACATCCTGTTGAAGTTTACTAGCTATAACCTCTTTTTACAAGATTGATCTGGTGGATCTTAGTAGAATGAATCAAATATGCAGATAGATAGATAGATAGATAGATAGATATAGATGTACAGATATATAGTTGTTATATTTTTCTCCTGGATGTTTAACATCAAGTTAAATTGATACCTGTATTAATAAAAACTAACCTCTTGCTGTCTATCAAGTTCAGTTAAGTGTCCTTAGGATTTACCTTGGAACCATGTATAGCACCTTTTTGGTCTTCTTTCAGTGTCAGCCATCTTGATGATTCATGACCATTGCTTGGCCAAGTAGCTTTCTGTGAATGCTTGGGACATTATGTTCTAGTGACCCTCTTTTCGCACATGGTTGTTTCCTCATCCCCTGGGGCTCAACAATTTCCTTGGTATAGAACAGATATTTTAGTCAATCATCTCTATCTAGGAATAAGAATCTTTTACCTAACTTCTTATCCTTTATTAGGATGTCAGTGAAGAAATTTGTGACATTATCTGAACTGTTTAATATCTAAGCATCTCTAAGTATAGCAGCACATCTATAGCAAACATACCACATAAAATTTTGTTAAAAATTATCTTTTGACTGGTGACATCATCGGTTTGATATGAACCTCCTATCACAAGTAGCTAGAGCACACGAGAAAGGAAAATGTTTGAATCTGAAGGAAAACACGTATCACCATAAACAGTCCCAGTTTTACATTTTGGAAGATCTGTACTTGTGAAAGACATGAATATACGTAATACACCCTGAGATTAGTAATAATGAATTCTCGTAGCCATAAGAAAACATTTGTTTCTTAATTTAGTTTTTAAACAGAATATCTTTAAATCAGAGAACCTTATTGTCTTATCTCTAGAAAATTTAACCTTTTGACCATGACCAGTGTAAACATATCAGAGCAATATATTTTGAACAACTTTTTTTGGGGTGTCTCCCATAAAGCTATGGAGATCACTGGGGCCTCCAATTAATGAACAAGGACTGGATAATTATTTCCAGGCAGCTGCTTCCTTATTCATCAATTAGGGTCCTGGCCAATAGTTTCTCTTCATCCTAAGGGATTTTTGTTTATTTTAACAAATTTTGATGACATATGAGAAACAGATCATAATGCTTAAGACATTATTTTTTAACAAGAGAGTCTCAAAATCATAATATACAAATGACAATATGCATTACATTTATCAAACCAACTTTAACATCATTTTGACCAGTTGGCAACTTTGGTAGAAGCATGTCTTTAATTTTTATTACATTTATCTATAAGCCAAATTAAATTACAGAGAAATGCTTCAGAAATGTAAAAAGAAGAAAAGTTTGTTGAGCTCAATTAAAACAGCTGTTTACAGACTGGACAGACAGACAAATACATGACATTTGTTTATAAAATCAGAGTGCAGTCATATATTTTTGTCATATTGAATTATTATAACTCTTTTACAATTTTAGAAGTTTGTAATTATAAAAAGACTAATCAAAATTTTTTATAGGTCAATTAGCAGAGACCTCTTATAATACAAATTTGGAAGGGAAAAAACACCTTTGTGTCTATAACCAGTATGTTTTTTTAATACCTGAAACATTTGTCCCTTTTTTATGTATAGCTTCTAGCTCAATCATCTCTGTATACTCTGTCACCTACTTAGGCACCCCAGGACCTGTTTTAAGGATTTGGCTGTAATTTTTATTTAGATTTTTAAAAGTCAATAGAACCATGTTAATTTTTGTACCACCTGTGAATTAGAAATCTGTATTTTGCTCCCATGTTGGTATGATTATGTCCAAACAGTTCACTGCCAGTTGCCGATGCTGTAACCATTGGTGACATAAAAGCAGTGACCCTGAACAGGCACAAAAAGGGCAGGCACTGGCTCAAATCCTCTGTGCAGACCCCAGCTCAAAAAAGGCAGGTGAGACGGGTGCCCTGAGCCAGGGCACACAGCCTGTGTTACTCACTGCGGCTGACGTGACATTTTTAGCAAAACAGGAGTTTGGGTTCCTGCCTGACCCCCTTTGTGCCAGCCTGACCCCAAACTCAGCCAAGCTCTCAGTTTCCCATTGCACACCTCTGGCTTGCACCCACTGGCTGTACTCCCTTCATGCGTCGAAGTCTGTCCAAATTGATGAGAAGAGGGGAAAGCAGCAATTTCTCTCCTCACACTTTTGACTATTAGCTGTCCCTTTAAAAGTCTGTAGTGATCTAGCTAGATATGTGCTGATTTGTTTTTTCCCAAGTGTTATAGATCAAATTTGTCTTTCCCCAAACACTCTTTGTAAAGTCCCCTCTGTCAGGAAATTCAGCTCTTCCCACCTTTGCCTTGTGGGCAGAAGCTTCTGTTGGGAGCACATTTGTTTTTTCTATATCTGAAGCAGGAGCTGTTGTTTGTGAGCTCTGTAATGGATTTAAAACTAAATATATTACCTTCCAAGTTGAAAAAATCTCAGAGGAAATAATCTTTTTTCATAATGTGAGTTTTTAAGATTTTGACTAACTTTCTCCCAATATTTAATATGTATAGGGCCTGTCTGAGGAAACAATGGATCATATTTGTTTACTTCTTGTAGAATTTTTGTTAAGTCTTTTGTGGGCACATGAGCCCTGAGGATTTTAATAATCTAGATATATCTGTGTGGTGTGACTTTTCCTGAACCCTTGAGGCCAAACCAATTTTACTCCAAATGCCTTTGGGGTGATAACCCTGACAACTGATTCTTGAGCCTTTTGCAGCAAACTCTATATTAGAGCTAAAATTGAGTTGAGCAATTGGATCATTGCTCTTCTGCAGGGAAAATTGCTCCATTGATTTTAACCCAGCTGATTCTACTTACATCAAGCACTCACCTCTTTTCTGTTGTGCTTTGCTCCAAAAGTCATTGGCCACTCATTACTCAGGGCTCCTGTGCCACTGAACACCAGCTTATGCTCAGGTGGGCTCATTCATGAGAGTCTGACCCATACCTGGGTGCCACTTACCAAAACTCCTGCTGAGTGTATCAGTCTTACCCACCTGGCAAAATGGAACACAGATGCAAAAGAAAAAGAGAAAACGTTCTGCAGTTGATGAGCTCTGGGATGACCCAATGTCCTCTGTGGAACAAAAGGTCTCATCTCCAAAAGCTCATGGCTTTTTTTGGTATCAGTTAGGGAGGTGGGTTGGCAGAGTGCATAGGGAAAAGAAACTTTGAAGCCATACCAGGTACAGAGGCCTCCAATTAGCAATACACAGACAGTTTTTATATATGCAAGGCTGGCACTTTTATTGCCAGAAACATTTATTTCAATATAGCCAGCTCTACATATCTTAGTAAATAGGGTGAAGGAGAGGTCTGGGACAGGTCGCAGCAAGGGCTTTGTTTCTCAGGAGAGAGTGGTGTTGCACAATTTTATGATGGTATTTAATAAAAATTTCTTAAAAAGTTATTTCAATTTATTTAATTTCTATTAAGAAGAAATTACTGAAACCCTGAGGTATGGTAAAAAATGCCCATTAAGGCCCACATTTCCAGAAAGTCAAAACACTGGATTTAACATTAACCTTCTACAAAAGAAACACTATAAAATAGCCTGCAAATGAGTTGTTACTCTCCTTCAGAAAAAAGTAATAATTCAAACCACCTGTCTTCAGAGGTAGGGCCATGAAAGTGGAAAGAAAATGTTGAAAGTCTATGTAGGAAGGTGGGAACTCTATGTAGGAGGGTGTGAGTGAGTGGCTCTGGAAGAAACTATGGATGGCAAGCATTGTACTGTAGGATTGGGGAATAATAGAACACACTCCAAAAATAACTTGCAAAACTCAGTTTCTAAGTGTGCACAAAGGGTACTAAGTGTACTAAGCATACTAAAAAACTCAGGAGAAGCTGTACTTACTACTTTAGTCATTCTGAGAAAGAACTAAGGAAAATTTTCCCTTTATACTACTTCCACATAAGATATATGGCAGTCATCTATTTCATCTGATTCAGTTGATGAAATAGCTAGACTTCCAAAGCTCTGTGTCCTGAGAAATTTCTGTTTCACTATGTCTTACCAATTTCATTGTCTAAAAATTAATAATTTTTCTTTTCAACCAGAGCTGAATGTCGTACCCCAATCCCTAAATATAAATGAGGATTTATTTTCTCAAAAGGACACTGTAATTTGCTTTTAAATACCATGTCCATTTTTTCTCCTAAGTTTTTTGAATTTTTCAGTTTTTACTGTTAGATTTTCCTGTGTTGATGAGTAAAAGTTAGTGAATTCAAGAAATCTTAATTATTTTTTAAATTAACTAAGTTTATTGGTACATTTTAGGTAAACCTAATGACCACATTCATCATAGGTAATTTGTACCTATACATGATATAAAATGATTCTTTTCTCCCCATGCCCCAACCATCTTTCAACCCTTCTTCTCTTTATTTTCAAAAGTTTTATTTTCATTTTTTCCTTTTCTCATTTTTTCTTTTCTCTTTCTTCCTTTCCCTTCTCCTCTCCCTATTTCTTACCATTTGAAGTTTTTCTTCCTACTTCCCAATATCTACTATAATTTTTTTCCTTATTTACACTTTTGGTTTCTCATATCAGAGAAACAATGTATTTAAACGTGAGTGTACAATTTATTTCACCCCACATCTCCTTTTTCATTCATCAGTTGAGCATTTGGGCTGTTTCCAAGATTTAGCTACTACAAACTCTGCTGCAGTAATCATAGGCATGCATATATTGCTGTGGAATGGTGTTTTCCATTCTTTTGGGAAGATACCAATAAAGGGAATAGCTGGGTTGGATGGAACCTCTTATCCTAGATTTCTGAGGAATCTCCACAGTGACTGTACTGGTCTAAACTCCCACCAACAGTGGAAAAGTGTTCCATTTACCCCATGTCCCAGTCAGCATTTGTTATTGGTTGATTTTTTGATAATAGTCATTCTTTCTGTTAGATTTTATCTCACATTGTTTTAACTTGCATTTCTAAAATCTCCAATTATATTGAACATTTTTTCATATATTTATTGCCATTTCTACTTCTTAATCTGAGAAATGTCTATTTCAGATGAGCTTTTTTTTGGGGGGGGGGATCTCTTTCAGGCAGGATCTCGCTATGCAGTTCAGGTTGGCCTTGAGCTCACTTTGTAGCCCAGGCTGGTCTCAAACTCACAACGGTCCTCCTGCCCCTGCCTCCCAAGTGCTAGGATTACATGCCTGGACCACCACACCCGGCAGATGCCCATGTTTTGACTGAGTCTTTAAATTAGGGTGGTCTGATTTTTTTATGTACTTTATATAGTCTAAACAGTAGTCTTTTCTCTGAAGAACAGCTGGTAATTTTTTTCTCACACTATGGGTTGGCTCTTCACTCTGTTGTTGGTTTCTCTTACTATTCAAAAAGCTTCTTAATAAGATGAGTTGTTGATTCTTGGTGATAGTTCCTCTATGATATGGACTTTGTTCATAAACTCTTTGCCTACAGCAATGTCTTTAAGAGTTCTACTTATTGTCTCTTCTAGCAGATTTGGTGTTTCTGCTTTAATATTTAGATATTTGATCCTTTTTGGTTTGACTTTTAGTGCATAGTGAAAGATATGGGTCTAGTTTTAATCTCCAGCATGTGGAAAGCCAGTTTTACCAGTACCATTTATTATAGAGGCTATCTTTTTTCCAGTGAATGTGTTTGGCACCTTTGTCAAAGATAAGGTGGCTTAGTACATCTGGAGTTGTTTCTGTGTCTTCTAATCTGTTCCACTGATCCTCAGGTCTTTTTTTTTTCCAGTGCCATGCTGTTTTCATCAGAGTAGCTTTGTAGTATAATTTCAAGTCAGGGATTGTAATGCCCCCTGCCTTGCCTTTGTTGCCCAGAATTATCTTTGCCGTTCTAAGTCTCTTCTGATTCCAAATTATTGTTTTTTCTCATTCTGTGAGATATGCTATTGTGATTTTTATCAAGATTGCAATAAATCTGTATAATAATTTTAAAATTATGTATATTTTCACTATATTGGTTATTCTTATACAAGAGCAGGGATATTTTTCAATTTACTGATATCTCTTTAAGAAAACATAATTATAACAATAACTTTTCTTTCACAGTGACCATTTGGTATTAGAGTAAACAACTGGGATATTTCTAAAAAAGGAGAAATGTCATGGGCTTTTTTCAACAATTATATCAAACAAATCTCTCTCTGGCTACAGCATCACAACACATAGAAATTAGTCTGGCACCATCTTCTGTCATTTAACTAACAGATATTTTAATGCTTTATTAGTTATCAGAGACTATCAGTGGAATTTTATAAGAAAGTGCTCAATGGAAAGTTTATCACTAGGAACTCTCTGAGGATAACACACACCCGAAGTAATTTCTGACTCTGATTTTTATGATGTAGAAGTCCATAGCTTGTCGGGTCAATTTTTTGATTTAAAAGGTTTTTTTTAAATTTTGAAGTAATTATTGGTGCATTCATGCATTACAGATATCCTATGTAATGTTAACCACTTTCCCTTAATGGTAATATCTGACAAACTTCAGCACAATACAACCACCATACTGATACAATCAAGATAAACTATATTTCCACTACCACACAATCCATCTTTTTGCTCTTTACAACCCTACTAGGGTTTCTCCTTCTTCCTCCATCTAAAAAACTGAAAGCCACTATGTAACTCCTTCTCTATCTCTATAACTTTATCACTTAAAGAATGTCATATAAGTGAAATCATTCAATATTTTACAATCAGTAATTTCTTGAATTAGTTCAGAATAATTCTCTGAAAACTCATTAAAGTTTCAAGTATCATTATATTCCTTTTTACTGCTAAGTAGTGTTCCATAATATGGAAGTACTGAAGCAGTTTTTTTTTTTAACTATTCACCATTGAAAGTCATTGGGCACTGGGGAAGTAAAAAAAATTAAGATGTGCTAAGTGAATGTACCAATTTCCCACAATAAATGTAATCATTATGTACTGAAAACATGCACTAATAAAAAAAATAAAATAAATTAAAAGCAATAAATCTGCTATCAACATTTGTATACACATTCTAATGTGAATAGTTTTCATTTCTCTGGGAATAAATCCTCATGAATGAAGTTGATGGGTCACATAGTTGCACGTTGCTCATAAGAAATTATAAAATCATTTCAAGAGTGTCTATATCTTTTTACATTACTACCACCAGGGTACACAGCAGTAGAATTTCTTTGCATGACACATTTTTATTATAGCTATACTGATAGGTGTGCCTAGAAGCATGTCATTTTGATATTAATTTGTCATTTTCTGGTGGATAATGATTTTGAATACTTTTTTCATGTGCTAATCTCATATCGGTATATCCTCTTCATTGATCTGTTTCTTCATGTTTTTGCCCAGTAATTTATTAGATTGTTTTGTTTGTAGAGGTTCAGGTTACCTTTTCTTCTTTCTTCCTTCCTTCTTTCCTTCCTCCCTTCCTTCTCTATCTAACTTCCTCCTTCTTTACTTTTTTCATAAATATTGTACATATTGAGATGGCTTTATATTGCTCTTCTTAAAGGGATATTAGAAATACAGAATAGTAGTTTTATTTATGGTATATAACATACTTTGGTAATTTTCACCACTCATTATCTACTCACCCTCCCTCTCCCTTCTCATCTCACTCCTTATTAAATTCTGCCTCATGTTTTACAGTCATCCTTCTTTTTTTAAAGATTACTTAATAAGAAAAAACATGTGACATAGCACTTTGTATTTTGAAAGTTTTATATATTTTCTCATTTTATTAATATATGATTTCAATACATAATAAAATTTCTCATCATATGGAATTAGTACATTTATATATCACTAATTTATTTAACCCTTCCTTCCCCTCCTTTCTCTCCTAACCTCAGATTCTTACCTGCACAAATTCTCTCTGTTACCTTTCATCTTCCTTTTATTTTTCTCTTTAAGTTGCTTAAACTGTATGTCAGGTTTCTCAAATAAGAAGGGGAAAAATACACACACACACACACACACACACACACACACACAGGATAA